ACCTTCATCATCATCATCCTGGCCGTGAGGTTTTGTCGCAGGAGAAAGCCCAGACTGTTGTTTGATGGAGCTGTAGCCATTCCCAGCGCGTATCTGCCTCCAAATTACGCAGAGGTGGAGGGCGCGGGAACTCTCCGCAGCACTTACAATTATGACGCATACCTGACCACGGGCTCGCGCACTAGTGACTTCAAGTTCGTCAGATCTTATAATGAGGGCACACTGACTGCTGACCTGACTCTGAAAAATACTCAGTCCTCTGTGGATGATCTTGAAGGGCTTGATGCGGAAATGAGCGATTCGTTTCAGGTAGGACTAAATAACTCTGTTTTTCACAGATAGTTAATGATCTGGGATTAGAAATTAAATGTGAATTTTTGTTCTCATTTGATCGTATTGACAGGCTCTGTTCTAGAAAAAGATCAGGTGACCTATTCATATTCAAACATTCACAAGTCTACAATTAAGGTCTGAAATGTAGTCACATATAAAGTGTTTTATACATAGTCATTTATTCACACATCGCCCTTTTTTACGAATCTATTTCTTTATTTTATTGTTTTAGCGTTTCTTTCATTAATGTCTCGCTTTTATGCATTTAGCATATAAAAAGGAATTCAATTCCGAAGCCAATTACATTCTGTTTAGTAATAGGCCAATATACTTTTAGTTGTATGGAAAATTACACAGGGTAACTTTGTATTGTTGCTGTCCATGGTGCTGCATCAGCTTTTACGTTGTTTAGGTTGTTGCGTATATTTGGAGAAATATATGGAGGAGAGAGAGAGAGATGGTGCTCATGCAGCACACGCTGAAATACCTTACTTGATCATTGAAATGTATATAAGTATTAGTGATAATTATCGCATAATCACGGTGTTTTTATTTATTTACTTATTTACTTATTTTTTTTTTGTCAATTGGATTTCATGATTTAGAATTTAAAACGTCATATCTCGACTGCTGTTGGTTGTACTCACGAAGGCAGGCCTTGATTGAAAAGCCACGAACAGACTATTTGGTATCATTGTAAATGTGAAGTTTTTTTTTTTGGCAATACTGTATAGCAAACTTAAAGACAATGATCCATTTGAACGTTTTGACATCGTTTATTTCAAATCGTTTTGGTAAATGAGAGATAACAAAAATGTAAAAAAAAAGAAAAAAGCACTGCACGTGTGTTACGAGTCGTCCGAGGTTCTCAGTAATTTACTAAAGTTTTACATAGTGCTGGAATTATGCAAGAAAATGCGATGAGAAACGGTTCTTAAACATTAGTCGTGCACATTTTTAACCATGTTGTCTGAACTAAGTTCATGAATTCCTTTAAATTCGTATTAAAGATTTTCTTTTAAAATTCAGTTTACTGAATAGACGTTTTAGAATGGGACGGCGTATTTCTTAAGCTTTCCACGCTGCTGCACGGGCCAGTGTCCGTTGCTGTTGAGGTTTTGCTTTAGTATGTCTGTCTACATGCATGGGTGTTTATTTTACGCATAGATGCTCTAGAAAATTATGCTTATTCTCTATTCACATCTAACGAGAATATTTCAACGTGTAGAACTCTTGATGTTATGAAGTCATTTAAGGTGCTTATATCCAAGTTTCGCCATTTAATATCAGAGCTGTAAGAGTACTTGCAGTTTCATAATTGAACTCTTAGTGTCGCTGTTTACCAGTTTAGCCGATGACATTCACATAGCTGTTTCTCTCCACCCTGTTCATGATGTCATTCAGGACTGACGTCTCAACTTGTAGAAAATCGCCAACAATGAGAGGCGCATTATCTGTTGTCCTCGTGTATCTGCCACATTGAGTCATTTGCTTTTTCTTTTACATGTGGATAACGTGGTTAAATTTGTACTCATTTCCGAATATATCTACACCTTCTATATTGCTGGTGAGATGTTTGGCTTTTTGTTCTTCGTGCTGACGGCGCACATCGCTTATGGAGACGTGAGCTATTCTTTCCCGGAGGAGATGAAACGCGGATCTGTGATTGGAAATATAGCAAAGGATCTCGGGCTCGATGTGAACAGACTGTCATTTCGTAAGGCACGCGTTGATGCTGAAGGTAACAGAAAACGATACTGTGACATTAATGTGAATACTGGAGAACTGACCGTAGCGGAGAGAATTGACAGAGAGGGGCTTTGTGGAAAGAAAGCTTCATGTGTTTTAAATCAAGATTTCGTGCTGGAGAATCCTCTAGAATTACATCGTATCAGTCTTCGTGTTCAAGATGTTAACGACAACAGTCCTAATTTCGGTAAAGATGAGATTAATTTGGAGATCAGAGAATCCGCCGATAAGGGCAAACGCTTCTTACTTGAAGCAAATGATGCGGATATTGGGCAAAATTCTATACAAAGCTATGCTATTCAAAGTAATGGTTATTTTCTTTTATCCGTGCAAAGCAACTCTCTTGGAGAGAAATACGCCGAACTCATTTTAAACAAAGAGTTCGATCGCGAACGCGAGCATGAGGTAACATTAATTCTCACTGCGGTAGACGGCGGGACTCCACCGAGATCAGGTACTGTAGCCATACACGTCTCTGTGCTGGATGCTAATGATAATGCTCCAGTCTTTAGTCAGACCGTCTATAAAGTCAGTCTGCCTGAAAATTCTCCTCTAGATACTGTAGTGGTGACAGTGAGCGCTACTGATGCTGACGAGGGACAAAATGGAGAAGTGACTTATGAATTTAGCCATGTTATGGAAAACTACAAACAATTGTTTTACCTTGATCGAAAGACAGGTATCATCAGCATAAAAGGGCCAATAGATTTTGAGGAAGAAGCCACGCTTAGTCTGCGAATAATAGCTAAAGATGGTTCAGGTCTAACATCTTACTCGAATGTTATAATCAGTATAAGTGACATTAATGATAACTCTCCTATACTAATAGTAAAATCTTTGAATAGCCCGATACCTGAGAATGCATTACCCGGTACAGAGGTTGGCATCATTAATGCGCAGGACAGAGACTCTGATAA